TTGCATTTTGTTTATTGCATCTGTATTTTGTTTTTATTGCTTCGATTTCGTTCTTTTTGGTAACTGTATCCATTTCACACCACTAAGCCTTTAAACGAACGTATGACTGTAGGTTTGGTGCGAACTGGAAGATCAAGGCGGAGGCTGGACTCGCGTCTACTGCCAGAAGAACACTTGTCCAGCACCCTCCGCTCCTTCCGTTCTAACTTCTAGCTCCTGCCCTTACAGCATAGGTAAATAACGGCATTGAAAATGTGAAAAGTAATTTTATTTGTTTTCCAATTTTGTTCTTATAAATATTTTATTTTTAAAACTTGTTATTGTAGATCTTCACTTTCATTTTTAATGGTGTGGGATGGTAAATTCTTCAGGAGACCACGATTCGTTGCGTAAACTACCGCAAAAGTCAATATTAGATGATATGGATAGGGGAAAAAATGAGCTTTTCTCTTTTTTGTTCCCCGATACATTAGGCGAAATTTGACAACGCTTGCGAACTATGGGAAGGTTGGTTTTTACTTATAATCCTGATGTGTGACAGCCTTTTTATAGTGAGATAGTGAATAAAGCTGCGGTATCAGCAGCCAGCACAAGATAAAATATCCAATTATTATAATTACTGAATGAAAAAACACTTGTGCAACGCCAAATATTTCCTGCTTATGAACTCCAAGGGAATTCGTTTCAAACTGTCGGCAATTTGACGATAATTGCAATCTTAAAGGGGCCTCGACTGTTCATCGCTACTGTCCGTAACAAAACGATATTTATTTACTTCGATTTTATAAATAATTAGATAATTCACTACAAAGGAGCTATTGTGAAAAAATTCCTTATATTTGTTAGTTCTGATTCTATTCCACCCAACTACCTTGATCACCAAAGTTTGTGGATAGCCTGGAGAACTCGATCATATTCTTAAACTCTTCTAAACGTGTAATAATTCCTGATATAATTTGCTAATACTTATTATTCTTCCAAGTATATTTGAATGTATAAATCGATGTTTAAAGACAACTTATTATTGTTCAGGTTCAGTATTTCTCAAAGTTTTTGTGATCTCGAGTTTCATACAGCGTATCAATGAGTACACACCGTATATACATGCATCCGTCAACAATATCAATCAACTATATTATTAAATATTATTAACCAACATTAAACATGTCGATGGCAGGCTTTTTGATTCCAAATCCACGCTTGGCAGGCACTGTGGGAAGTTTGGCTACAAAGATTTGTTTAATATAAGATTCATAAGATGTCACTTATAATTGCTATCGGAATCCATGTTGATTTGTCAGTTCTTGTAACGGTCATTTGTATAACTTTTGAACAGAGCAAAGCATTTGATAGTTGAATAAGATCCAGTAGTTTTCCTATCAAAACCAGTTATTTAGTTTATTAAAAAGTTTTTGTTATTATATTCCTCGTTTTATTCATATCAGGGCTAGACAACTGGCAACAGCTGACGGGATCGACCAATAGTTCCGAGGCTGCGGTCGTCATTAACGTAAGCTAACAAACATTATGGTTAAAGGCTAATGCTACTGACCTAATTTTCCTAATTAAAATCTCATATAAAGTCTTCAGATACCGTTATTCAGCTCAAATTATGTAACTTCAATTCAACATCGCCAGTTTGTTGATTTTCTTATAAACTGTAATTTTGAGAACTAAACTTGTTCTATATTTACCTGCTCCTTGTAACATTTTACTACAGAAATAACGAAAATCGCAATTCTGCTATGAAAAAATTACCGTTTTGAAAAAAAGTTACTGGAGACTGGTCAATAAATTTGATTGTAAAAATTACATTGACCTTCAATTGTGAATTTTTGGTCAGAGGCGAGAAAAAGGAGAATATTTTTTTTGTTGATCAGCACTTAGGGTACGTACACAGTGAAAACAGGTTGCCCGCGTGCTGGTTACCTGCTGAGGCTGGCGCCTGAAACAAGCGCGAGATGTTCACAGAGGAAGCAGGAAACCAGCTGAGACCTAATTAATGCTTTGGGCGAGGAAGTGTATTATTAGTGTATTTTATTATTGTACTTTATTAGTGTACTTAATTGGTGTACTTTATAAGTGAATTTTATTAGTATATTTTATTAGTGTATTTTACTAGTGTATTTTGTTGGTGTATTTTATTGGTGTACTTTATTAGCGTATTTTATTGGTGTATTTTTATTAGTGTATTTTATTAGTGTATTTTCATCAGTGTATTTTATTAGTATATCCATGTCTTCACAATAGGCTCATCTGAGTTACGAAATAATTCATAAGAAACAAAGAAAATGGAGGGTTTAAAGGTACCTACAACTAATTCAAAAATGACCATATGCCAAGCAGGTTGAGCAGATAAGAATGTGCAGTACATTCCGGTAAATAGGTATAAGCAGGTTGTCGGCAGAAGCCTGTTCGTACAGGATTGCCAGCGTGCTGGTTACCTGCTTCCATTGTGAACGCCCTCTCGCGCTTGTTTCAGGCGCCAGCCTCAGCAGGTAACCAGCACGCTGGCAACCTGCTTTCACTGTGTACGTACCCTAAGAATGTGCAGTACATTCCGGTAAATAGGTATAAGCAGGTTGTCGGCAGAAGCCTATTCGTACAGGTTTTCACTGTGAACACTTACAATATTATCCTATGTTCATTCTTGGGGCAGGTTGGAGCAGGTTGCCCGCGCGGGCAAACCTGCTTCCACTGTGTACGCACCCTAATTAAGGGTACGCACACAGTGAAAGCAGGTTGCCAGCGTGCTGCGTTACCTGCTGAGGCTGGCGCCTGAAATTGAAATAAATAGGCCTGGCGCTGGCCTATTCGTACAGGTTTTCACTGTGAACACTTACATTATTATCCTATGTTCATTCCTGTGGCAGGTTGGAGCAGGTTGCCCGAGCGGGCAAACCTGCTTTCACTGTGTGCGTACCCTAAGACCTGGAAATACGGCGCGGGAGGCCCAGCAACAGCTAGTCAGAACATGCAAACCTTGGGCCATACTTTCAAAACTAGCTAAGGGAACATAAGTAATTACGCTCTATTTTCTTGTCTATGATTGGTGGATTTTGCTTGAAAGGCCGTCAATGATTGGCTGATGAACTTACGATCTCTTAACTTTTTTGAAAGTATGAGCCATTATGTCTTTCTTTCCGCTGGAATCTCTGGGATACAGCTCGACAATCGCTGGCATGAAAGTCGACAGTAAAATACACAAAGGAAATTCAGGACAGCTTGTGACCTAATAACTAATATTTATCATGTCAGTGTAGGAAACAATCTTTAACTGACAATCCAATTTAGAACCAGTAACGATACTCAGGTGGAGCTAACCCTAACTGGAGGCGGGTCCAGGTTAGCTACGTACGACAACGTCACCATCGGCCCCAGCCCCGACTACAAGCTTCTGTCAATCGGCAATTACCACGGAGACGCTGGTACCCTAGTAACAATTTTCAAAAGGGCCCATGTTGGTCCCAAGTGGCATGACAATATTGGCCACATGTGAAAATGCTATATGGCAGCCCCATGGTTTTTGTGAAAATTCTGCCCAGCTAGGCCACGTAGAAATCACATGATTTCTACATAGGGCCAATATACCTCATACATGGTAAAACCATGTGCCTGTCATATTGTGGCTACATGATCAGTGTTGAATTGGCCCAACATGGTTCAATTCATGGGCCTATATTTCCACCATACATCAGGTCCATCTCCCTCTAAGGTTGCCGTCATATGGCAGCTGCATGCTGGGTCCAGTAGGTTTTTCGCAAGGGCCCACACGTCAATCACATGGGTAAACCATGTACACACTACATGTTTTACACAATGCGATTCTTTCTAGGTTTTGCCGTACGTCTCGATCCCATCCTAACCTCACATGAACAGCACATATGAGCAAACCATGCGCATTTTGAAGTCATTTATATACTCTACAATTTATAATGCAGATACATGTACTACTTTACCAACAACTAACTCAACCGCAGTTAAAACTATTTTAATCAAGATTACCACCATTTGAATGGCAAAGATTAGACCGGAAAAGTTTCAATGGTAACCTGGGAATACTGTTTAGTAAATTAATTTAATCATGTATTTAAATAGGCATATCTATATATATAATATATATATATAAAGGTACACGACGTCTTTCATACAGAATTCCAACTGCGGATAACAGCATGAATAACCGCTCAAATCGGTGAGACTATAATGACGTTCATAAAACATGTAGTTATATCCACCATTCTTAGTACATACCAGCATTGGTAGCAGTAGTGACGGTAGTAGTGCTGATGAGGTAAATGACTGATAAGCTTAGAAATTTGGCGTTTATATGTTCTCCACATGAAGGTTTTTTTGAAACGGTCTTATTCTCTGTCCTGGCCAATGGCTGGCTCATTTTTCGTATTTGAAGACTGGCAAATCTTGAGGCAGGAATATGGCTACAAGAACTTTTAACGAAGGTGCACTTGTAGGCAAACCGTCGTCCATTTCAATACCCCCACATTCAATGATGATTGATGACGTAGAACGGTTGACGAAGAACAGAATCAACGCAATGAAGTATATCTGAGTAGATAGTAGGACAAAATCTATATCTATCAGATATACAACAAGGCGATGTTCTTTCTAGCTCCCATGCGTTGTTTGAAATCCTCTTGAACTTCTTAGACTCTTGAACTAGTCTGCTGCAAAATAATGTTTACTTAAAGTTACTAAACAATAATGACTTTTGTTAACAGTCTGAAAAATCAATATTTTTAATGAATGGAATGATTGATGATTGATAATATGAATGGAATAAATGATGATTGAATGATGACAATGATGGAAATGGGTTCATTGATAAGATGGGTTAATTTACCCATTATATACGTAATGAATTAATCCATTCATTATATAATGGGCAAACGATAGGTAATGNCAGTGCCCGCGTGACGGTTGTATATTCAAACTTTATACTGCCTTCAAAAGAATTCTTTTTAATCACAACTCAAGTTTATGAAACAATTTTGAACTATAAAATCGAGTGCAAGTGGACTATAGACAAGTCGCGACGTATCTCGTGATTTAAAATTGTAAGGCAATTCAAATGAAAGAAATTCCCTAAATTAATATTCATGTCATTCTATTGAAATATTTGCAGATTTGTACACAAATAGTCGTAATTTGATATGAGATCATTAACAATTTTCGATTTATGAACTAAAATAAATTCTATGAACTAAGATATTTGTTATCGGACATACTCGTTCGTTCACCGTTCAAACGAACGTTGTCCGGGAGCCCACGTAAGGAACGGATACACGTTCAAACTCCACACTGCCTGCAAAAGAATTCTGTTTAATTACAACTCAAGTGCATGATGCAATTTCCAAACTATAAATTCGAGTGCAAGTGGACTATAGACAATTTGCTACGTTTCTCATGACTTAAAATTTCAGCCAATTCAAATTGAAAGAAATTTTCTAAATTAATACTCATGTCATTCTATTGAATGATTTGCCGATCATTACACAAATAGTCGTATTATGATATGAGATCATTAACTTTTTTCAAGTTATGAACTAAAATAAGTTTTATGAACTAAAATATTTGTTGTCCAATACGTTTTCTGAGTCTGAGTTCACTAATTGTTGTTTAGTACATCAACATTGAGACAAACACGTGGAGTATCAGTATCATCTTGGTTTACCACATGAACGCCATATGGCACAACACCACTGATTTCTTTAATGGTTCTACTTTATTTGTACAATGTTGTAGCCACATAACAATGTCACGCAGCCTCTGAGTAAGATAGCAGCAATGCGGGCCCCATATGTTGGAACCATAATGCCACCTCTTTTCCACTTTGTCGCATGGGCCCGACATGGGCCCATTGTAGAATTGTTACTAGGGTATGCTAAATACAGTAGTTATTAATTATATATTGCAAGAAAGCGGATGGATTCGTCGGCAATTACCACGGAGACGCTGGTATGCTAAATACAATATTTATTAATTAAATATTGTAAGAAAGCGCATGGAATCGTCGGCAATTACCACGGAGACGCTGGTATGCAAAATACAGTAGTTATTAATTATATATTGCAAGAAAGCGCATGGATTCGTCGGCAATTACCACGGAGACGCTGGTATGCTAAATATAATATTTATTAATTATATATTGTAAGAAAGCGCATAGATTCGTCGGCAATTACCACGGAGACGCTGGTATGCTAAATATAATACTTATTAATTATATATTGTAAGAAAGTGCCTAGATCCATCGGCAATTACCACAGCAACACCGGTGCGTGGATTAGATTGCGTTCTATCTAACGTAACTTCTATCTATCTAACGTTCTATCTAACGGAATCTAACGTAATCAGTCATTAAGGGCTCACAAATATATAATTTTGCATAAAATTTTTCATCAATATTAATATCATTTAAAATGCAACACACAGATCAGATCATACAAAAAAACTAGTCACTTATAGTCAAGTCATGCGAATTCGACTTTATAAAACAACATACGCATGTACTCGATGGATGATCGACTTATTTGATTAACTTAAGAAAAGACACGTTATCCTGTAATCAATATGATACAGGATTGATAAGTNTTGGAGTCAAGCAAGACGCCGGCGAAGCATAAGTAAATTAGCTGTAGAACATTAATTTTATATTTTTCTATTTATTCGTGTTTCACTTACGAATTCAACCCGAAAGTTTCACTTACAATTTATGCTCTTAAAATTGTTTAACAGGATACATACAATGCCATAAAAATAACTTGCAGTCTTCATTTATTTGTGTCGCCTTACTCTTTCGACAGGCACCAGCTGCCCACTCATGCTAAATGGCGACGTCGACTCATCTTCGTGGAACGCCACCACTTCGGTACTGAACTTCCCGCACGATCGCATGCCGGGAGCGAATCTTTCTTACAAGTGCCTGGGGGAGTTCTACATGGAGGGAAACGTCTTTGAAGACCGAACATTTCAGGGAAATGTGACTTGCCTGAGCGGAAACCCCCCGCGGTGGGACAGAAACGTCACCTTACCTTGCAGCTGTGAGTGCACGATGCTTGGTCATTATTAGCACGATTTGTGTGGCGAGAGGAACGTGTAATATTGGTAATCCGGATAGTCGGATGAATGTCCTATTTATATAATGATTTATAATCCTATTTTATTTATGTCCTTGACTGTATCAATTCATTTTATATTCTTTGAGGAATTTTCCTCTGTGACGGAACTCCTCCATCAGTTGGGTGTACGGACGGCTACGTGGAGAGCCGAAAAGCCGACGAATGCTACAAATTCATGGAAGATCCTAAGGCGACCAGCTTCCTCAACGCCGCCTACTTGTACGTTTAGTAGTTGTCGATAAACATCTATGATTATCATCATGAACGAATGAATAATTAAAATAAACTTATTTCGATAATTATAATTGGCATTCGTATTCACGCCTAAGTAAGACCGATTAACCACCCCGCCGTCAACGCCATTTATGGGGCAAACTGGCCAATTGAGATGTTGTGCTGCAAAAGTTATAGATCGCTTGATCATAATTTGCTGCCAATCCGAAACGTGTATGAGCCACCTGTATTGCGGGTACTTTTCACTAAAAATTCTCCTGCGATTTCTACTTCTCCACTATAAGACTAAAGGTGCTGGTAATGTTGCTGTAAGCTTTTTAATCTCAGTCCCATTTCCCTGGTTAATGGCAATACTGTTTTCAGTGAACGAGTTCCGAATAAAAGTTGCTGATAAAGTAAACATAGTAACGATTATTACCGTTCAGCGCTTTTAAACTCGAAATGAGTTTCAATCTCGGAGTTAAAAAATGAATTGAATATTTTTCCAATAGCACTGTTTAGCACGATCACATATTTTGATTGTGCAAATGTTGCTCGATCAAGTAGTGGAGCCATCACAAGTAAAACCATCATTCTATGCATGTATAATCCGCGCTGTCGGATTATTGACAAAATTATATCACAATTCAAGGTGTTGCTTCTTGCTAGTAAATCAATAGTTTCCTATCGCTTCAGCAGACACTCTAAACTTGTGCGGAACTCCACTTACGACATCTCCGAGCAGGCGTACAGTTGTTACCTTACGTAGCTTCCCGCGCAAATGTTTTGATAATACCACCTCTAGAGTTACGTCATCAAGTCAGTACTTGCGCCACTCGTAAGTCGATTTTGCGTACTTATACGAAGTTTTGATAATACGGCCCTGGACGTCCAAAAGACATTCTTTGGACAGATTAATTATTCCGTTTAATATATCTGGTTGTACATAATACAAATTTCCTAATATAATGTGGACAGGTGCTTCCAT